TGGCCTCCCCTAAATAAGCACTTGGGCCTTTTTCTTTGGGAGGATCAAATGATGTAAAGTAAGACCGCAGGAGAAAATGACAAACTTGGGAGAATTATAGACTCTAGAAATTTCAGAGGTCCCCCACGGCCATCGCCCCTTGTGCAGAGTTCTGGATTCTCTATCGATAGTTCCCGGAACCTCCAATGTCCTCTTTCCTTTTGGTCCTGAAAGTCCCCTTTCAGAGCTTTGCCGTTCTCTGGGTCTTATGTTAAAAACATCTTTCATTTACTGTGTACCTACTATGTGGCAGGTATTGGGCTAAGTTCTCCACGTATATTATGGAAATAAAAAGTCACAAAAATCCAGTTTGGTCATTATTATCCCCATTTTACAGATAAGGGAACTGAGCTCAAGAAGCATAAAAGTCACATGCCCAAGATCACACAACTAGGATGTCCCTTCTTTAATAAGAGTCCTTGTTATAGGACCTGAAAAAACAATGACAGTCATCTCCAACGTTTTTTGAGAATGAGATATAAAACTGGGGAAAAGATAGGTCAGAAGAGAAGATGAAGTTACTCAGGTGACCCCAAGTCTCCACCCTTCATAGGAAGGGCAGCCCCAACCTAGGGAAGATGGTAGGAACGTTATTCTCTGTCTGCCCTCCTTTTGAAGATCCTGAAGTGTTCATAAAAATAGCATCCTGGTTGGCACAGCTTTCTCCCCTGCCTGTTGCTAGCACAAAATCAAATGTAGCTGTGAAACCTGGACAAACCCATTCAGTGTTAGCCATATGGGATTTGGGGAAGCAGGTGGTGACGACCCAGTCTGTATGGGTGGTGAGTTCTCATGGTAGAACACTGTTTACCCTCGGATTTCTTTTTACAATTGATGTCAGTGTGTGCAACCAAATGTCTATGCAGGTGACTTGGTTTTTAAACCAGAATTACACTACTTTGGAAAAAGATTCGCACTTTTGGTTTGGCATTCTATTGAGAACTGGGATTTTATTTGTCTGTCTCCTGGAGACTTTTACTGCGGTCATGAATGAAGGAGGAGGGAATCGAACTCATTGATGTAGTAAGTTAGGCAGGAGTTATTCTCTGAGGGCCTGCTACCTGTGCGGCAGGACTGGGGATGCAAAGATGAATAATCTGTGGTCTTTGCCCTTAAGGAAGTCACGCTCTAGTCCAGGAGATGGGTGACCATAGGCCAGTGCAGCAATGCTATATCAGGTTATGTGTAGACTGCTGTGGACACCCAGAAGAGAGGTACCCGGCCCCCTCAGAATAGTCAGAGAATGCTTTATCTAAGGACACGGAGTCTAGGTTGAGTGCCCCCAGAAGATCGGGTGGGCAGTATATGAGGAAAAGTGTAGAAATGTTCCAGAGGACCCTGCATGTGTAAAAGCCCAGAGGGAAGAGAAAACCTGTTGTGTCTGACTGACGAATATTTATGGAGCGCCTGCCGTGCACTCAGTATGTGGTCCTCGAGGGAGGTGTCTGCTGCCCCAGGCTCAGAGGGGACTAGCTTGAGATCACAGGACTCAAACGCAAGCTGGATTCCACATCCTAAAGCGCTTGTACGTTGCCTTCCTTCTGGACTTCACCCTAGGCTGGAGTTGGGGGCCAAAACCCTGAGGGTGGAACCTGGCGGGCAGAGCTCTGAGGTACTGCACAGCAGGTAGGAGATCCCCCTGTGTCCAAAGTGTGGGAGGAAAGCTACCCCCCCCACCAGCGTAACCCCAAGTTATTAGGGTTGTCTGGCCCTCCCAGCGGCGGCTGCAGCTCTCTGGGGTGGTTCCAGGCCTCTCCCACCCTGGATGGGGTGGGAAGGATCAGCATTTTAGAGAAGGGAAAGCAAAGATGCCATGAGGTTTGTCTGTGGCTCAGGATGTGTTGTTGGGGACCCACCCACAAGGGCACTGGCCTGGGTTCTAGTCCCCACTCCGCCACTCATGGTTAGGGTGAGGAAATCATTCCAGTCTCCTTTTTTTTTTTTTTTTTTTTTTTTTCAGTTATTCTTTGATAAAATAAAGGGGTTGACCAAGGGCAGCCGTGGTAAAGACGGGCATGCATGCGGTCTCTTCCTCCCCCCACACCTTCTATTGCCAGTGACAAACCTTCACAGCTCCGTTTTTCGTATACCTCGGAACGTATACACCTCTTTACCCTGTTCTCCCCAAACAACACTTTTTTCTTCTAAGACAAGGGGAGGCTTTAACATCCTTCTCGACATAATACTGTAGCCTCGGAAATGGTTATGAGACCGAATCCTCTTTGTCCAGCTCGGACAACTCTGTGAAACCGGTGGACGTTGGCCTGCCTGCTCCCCAGTGGTTGTTCTAGCAGACTCCAGGGAGCAGTGCTGTGGCTGGAAATCGGGGGTCCTAGGTACAAAATTTCACCAAGGCCCTGTTTGCTCTTGATTGGTATCGTAATCAGCAGCCCTCCAGGCAGGGGCTGCATGGTCATTGTTGTTCCTGTCAGAGAGACCAAAGCAGCTGCAGACAGGGACCCGGTCCCCTGCTGTGGCCCAGTCTTATTCTCTGGATCGATAAGCTAAGCAACAGACTCTAGCTCCCTTCAAGCAAGTTTCCTGATGTCAGCAGCTGTAGAACATTCTAGGGCTTACCAGCTTACTGGTAATCTTAGTTGAGAGAAAGTAGGGGACTGAGAAAGTAGTGAGAGGGTTTCTTTGCCAACTCTGGGTAGAAACTTCCAGAAGTTCCCCCCCTAAGTCTCTAATGCCTTTCTATTCAAACTGACTGTCCTGAAGTGCAAGTGGTCCTGAATGGTGGGAGGGCAAGATGACTTTGAGGCAGGGAAGTCAGAAGAGGCACAGGGAGCAAGCGGGCGTGCCTAGCACACCGACGAAGTGTGCGAGCTAGGCTCAGGAAAAGGAGCTTTCCCTGAGAGCCCAGGACTCCTTGACAGAACCCACCAGTGGAGGCCGCCAACCACCCCTGCTGCGGGGCGAGCCAAAGAACTTCATTCTTCCACAATCCCCAGTGTGTCTTATTAATCAAATCTCTGAGCAACGTACCCAGCACAGCATTTCAGCAGATCACATGGGGATTGCAGACAGACTGGAGAGAGCCACCTAAGATGTGGGTAACCTTTACCCAGTGCCACATTCTTAGCTCTCTGCAGTGAGCACATGAGAAAGTCTCTGGCCCATGGCAGTCTCTCCCTGCCTGTTCTCCCTGCTCAAAATGACATTGACCAGTTTGAGGTGACTGAGTGGAAGATGTGCAAATGGCTGCTAATTACATGCGGAAGGCGGGAAAGATATATTCGCCGAGCTGGCCAGTGCCTGCCTTACACAGCAAATATAAGTGAGCCGGTCCCCAGAGTACTGGCCTCTTTTTCCCCCATCTCAAAAGGCTCTTTCTTCTGCCTGCTTTTGTCTCCCTTGTAGTTCATATGGCATCACAGGTGTACAGCCGGGGCCTCAAAGGAGCCATTGTGACCTTATCCAGTCTGGGATCTGTTGAGTGAAGACAGTGGCATCCCTCCGAGTTGCATGGCGCCATGACACTCACGGGGGAAGGCCGTGAACACTCCTGGGGAAGTGACTTGAGATCTAGCCAGGCTGTGTTTGGGTGCCTCCTTTGCACTCTACAACACAGCCACTGGTTCCTCTGGCGAGTTAAAAAAAAAAAAAAAAAGAAAGAAAGAAAGAAAGAAAGAAAAAGAAAACAAGGAAGAAATTGCTATCATGACACCAGAGGTCCAACTCCTGGAATCCAGACTTGGCCCCCGTTTTCCTGCCTGTCTCGGCAGAATGGTATCCTTGACGACGACGCTAGGACTGTGTGCAGGGACGGCAGTGTCTGTGGTGCTAATGGCATTCCATGGGGCAGGCAGGGGCGGGGTCTCCCTGGTGAGATGCAGCTGACCCACACACCTCCTGCCGGGCTGGCAGCACAGCCCCTCCCTCAGCCACCTGGGTTCGCAGCTTCAACTCTGCAGCCCCTAGACCCTCATCCCTGCCCCGCTCTCCTTCCCTCCCGCTTCTGTGACTTTCAGCCAGCACAGAACGGCGAGGCTGCCCAGAAGACAGAGAAGTGGGAGCGGGTTGTAGCCCCGTGCGGCACTTCTCAAACTGCTGTCTGGGGGCAGGCAGTTACTCGGTGTGCTGTGAAAACAGTGTCCCCAGCTGAGTTACCTCTGGAGGCTCTGGATGACACAAAGTCCCCTGGGTTTTTTCCCTGGGTGACTTCTCCCAGCCTTTGTGATGCTGGGGCACCGTCTGAGTCCTATAAAGGGCGTTTACTGGGCAGCATTTCTCAACATATCCTACACCCCGGGAGTGCCTAATACTGTCTCTCAGGATGGAAATTCCACACAGTGTAAAGGATGCTGGCTTAGTGTTCAGCGGTCTGAGCTTCGGAGTCCACCTTTAGGGCAATTTTTGCCACTTAATCAGAGTTTTACCTTAGACAAGTTCCTTCCTCTGAGCTTCAGTTTCCTGTTCGTGAATTGGGGAGATAACACCCTCCTGATAGGTGTTTTGAAGACTAACCAGCCTCACGTGTATAAAATGCTAAGCACAACGCCCGGAGCTTAGGAAACTGTCAGCATTAGTTTCTCTTCATTGTTCAGCCAGATCGCCCAGAGCAAGATGATCTGCCTGCCTCGACTCCCACTACATCCAGCTGACTCACAGCTCTGTACGTCTAGCCTGGAGTGCCCTCTCCCCATACCACGCGGCTTCAAGCTCCAAATATAACACCTCCCTCCCCACTCCAAACCACTCTCCCTTCCTCTCTGTGTCAATATCCAGTTGTCCACACCAGAAGCCCAGGAGCCATCAGAGATTTCCCACTCCGTGTGGAGGGAGTGACATCAATACCACTTCTTATTTAAGAGATCCCAGGTTATCAAATCCTCTCCATTCCCCTGGCTCCTGTCCAGATTGCACCTACTGCCTGGCCAACTATCAAGTCAGGTTCTTTGCCATTCCTTTCTTTTGCAAGAAAGGAAAGTAAAGTGTGGCAAGGAAAGTAAGTGAGTAAACTCTCACTTATCCTTCAAACCCCAACTAAGGTACCATTTCTTCCAAAGCCCAGTGGCTAACCCTGCATTTCCTCCCTCCGGGCGCAGTCTGAGATTAGGACCGCAAGCCTGCCTCTGGGGTGCCTGCCTCTGGGGGTGCCTCTCGCAGTGACTCCACGTGTGAGAGTCCCCGTGCCATCAAGCTCCCGGGCAGGGGAATTTTTTTTTTTTTATCCTTAAGCCCCATAGCTCAGTACCTGACACTGAGTAGGACTGTCAGTAAAATATTTGCTGAGTTAAATTTACTTGAGTTTTCCAAAAAGTCGCCGTCTTTCAGTGATTCAGTGATTCTCTTCAGAGGGATAGCCAACTAATTGTTTCAGAGGCTTCCTTGGATATTCTTGCCACTGCTAACAGCTGCCATCTCTTCAGCATCTACTGTGTATCAGGTACTGTAGCAAATTATTTACATTAACTCATTTACTCCTATGAGCTAGTTTCTAAGTGTTCTCCCCATTTCACAGATGAGTATTTTGAGGTTATCTAGCTGGTAAATGACCAAGGCAGGATTCAAACCCAGGACTGCCTGTTCACTTCAAACCCATGCTCCTCCCTTCATCTGTGAACTGAGATCCACCTGTATTCCCATCTCGACCATGGCCATCTAGATTTTTAAAGTACGATTTACTGCAAACCTCACCTGCACTTTCCTGTGAGGAAGAGAGCCATGGGTTTTTGCTTAGACCAAACTCTCTGAGGGACAATCTCCATTCTCATTTGTACCCAGCCTTCAGGGTTATTTTCCTAAATAGCCCAGAACCAGGAAGAGCAACTATAAGCCTCAGTAGCTAAATCCCTGTGCCTTGAGCCTCTCCCCTGATTCCCCAAAAATGGCTGACACCTTTATGTCACATTTTCTCAATAGGGAGGAAAGTCGCGTAATTTCATTAGAAAGCATTCTTGAGCACTACTTTGGTCCCAGGCACTGTGCTAAACACGGAGGTAAGACTAAGAATTCTCTGCTGTCTGGGAGCTCACAGCCAAGTGGGGAGACAACAGACATGCACATTCTGGCTGTAAAACTAAGGGATAGGTAAAAAGAGTCCTGAACCAAGTCCGAAAGACCTGGATCCAAATCCAAATTGGAATCTACAACGACAAAGTCAGAACGTTCTGTCAGCTGACAGTTCTGTTTTGATTTCTGTTGTTTTACAACTCATTTGGAGGGAAGACCTCATCTTGTGTGAAGTTTTTACATTTATTTTATATATTCATATATATGTGTTTATTCATCCCGCTTAGCATGAATATTCATACATTTTGCTGCAGAAACAGTGTTTCTGATCACAGAGTGCTGCCTCAACCCCCACAGGGGTTGTAGATAATAACATGGTTCTGAACTCTGGCATACATACATCTCCCCCACGTAGTTTGGGGAAAGGAATGTGAATGTAGGCCTGTTGTGATGAATTGAAAAGAAATATATGGAAAGACTTGATAAACTAAAAAGCAATAAACTCATGTAAGATGGTCTTAAAATGGTGGTATTCTGTGTAATGAAAACACCCCTTCTGTGTAATGAAAACACTGAGGATGGAGCAAGTGATTTTTTTCAGGACCAAGAAGAGGGTCAAAAGAAGTCTTAAAGGGTGAATTGAACTTCCTGCTCTGTGGAGAAGCAGTGGAAAAGAAATTCTGGGCTGAGGGAAGAGCATGTAAAAAATGGGCAGAAAAAAATGTCTTTAAGTAGCTTGAGTACATGGACTTTGTTGGCTTACAGAAAAACTCTGATTTCTGCAAAACGTACGAGAGAGGCAGTACAGATAATATAGAGAGGCAGCCAATCTGCAATCCATGTACTCTGGGCGGGATTTTTCTCAGAATGCAGGCTTACACATCTGTTCTCTGTGTTCGTAGAGAAGCATCACTGTCCGGCTGATGGTCCCTGTTCTGCCTGCTGCTAACCCCTCCCCGTCTCCCCAGGCAGGTCCAGCAAGGACCAGGCCTCTACACCATGCTACCCTCTGCTTGGTCTGCTTAGCCCCTTACCATCTGGCTTCTCTAGCATCAGACCACTAGGTTCAAATCAGATCAGCCACTTACTTACTACTTTTGGTGGCCTTGAATAAGTTATTTACTTCTTTTGTGCCTTTGTTCCTCAGCCATAAAATCAGAATAATGGTAGAAAGCTGGCATTGAAAGCACTTAGCCTAGTGTCTCTCTCACTGATAAGCACTCAAACAGTACTTATGATGATGATGATGATTATAAGGACTCCCCCCTCCTCCAGCTGTGTATAAATACACACATTCCTTAATAAGCACCTAAACAAAAAGAGCCCTTTCTTTTTTCTCCCTGCCTTGGTCCTAACTCCTTCCTAACTATTTTCTATAGAGTGTCTCTAATCCAGTTTTTTGCAGCTGTTTCTTAGTCATGGTAAGGCATGGTCTGTCTTACTTTGGTCATGGTCCGGGACAGGGATTCCCAGATTGAGCCCCTTAGGTCGCTAGGGGTCCTTGTAAGCAGTCAGGGGCGTTCCCAGGCTATTTTCAGGATTCTAATAATAGAGCACAGTAATTTGGAGTGCCAACTTGGGAAGTAGGGGAGCCCTGCCACTGACCGGTTATCTCCCCCTGTGTAAGTTTCATAATCTCCAGGAGCCTGCATTTCCTACTTGACCGAATGGGACTATTCATACTTTCCTCACAAGGGAATTGTATCTTAGATCAGATCATGTATTTAAATCCCTTAGCACAGGACCTGATATATTACAAATACCACATAAATACCTGCCACCATTATTGCTACTATTAATACAAGGCATTTCTTGAAAATCACACTTTTACCTCCAATGGAGCCTCAGGTAAAATTAAAAGGTCAGATTTCTGCCAGAAGTGGGTAGGGTTATATCAGCCTAGTTCAGTAACACTGTTGCCTAATGCTAAGAACCTCTGTGTGGCAGTTATATGTGCCTTCGGTAACTAAAAACGAGAATTATTACAAGTACATTGGGTAGGGGACAGGGTGCCTGGGTGGCTCAGTTGATGAAGCGTCTGACTTGAGTTTGGCTCAGGTCATGATCTCACGTCTCATAAGATCGAGCCCCATCAGGCTCCACACGCTGACAGCACGGAATCTGCTTGGGATTCTCTCCCTCTCTCTCAAAATAAATAAACCACCAAAAAAGTACATCTGGGTAAAGGAAAACATTGTGAACATGAAGTCTTGGTGTGGAGAAATAAAGGAGTCCCTGGTAATTAAAAAGTCACCAAGACCCACTGGTCTTGTACACTGATCAGTGCTTTCTGGGTGGAAGGTCTCCTATTTTTTTTTTCTTTTTTTAACTTGCAAGAGCATGCACAGGGGAGGGGTGGGGCAGGGGCGGGGGAAGGTGGGGAGAGAATCTTAAGCAGGTTCCTCGCTCAGCCCCAGAAGGTCTCCTTTTATAAAAAATAAAAATAAGGGGCACCTGGGTGGCTCAGCCGGTTGAGCGTCTAACTTCAGTCATGATCTCACCGTTTGTGAGTTTGAGCCCCGCATCGGGCAATGAGCCTGGAGCCTGCAGCCTGCTTCAGATTCTGTGTCTCCCTCTCTCTCCTCCCCTCCCCTGCTCACACTGTCTCTCTCAAAAATAAATAAACATTTAAAAAAAACATTTAAAATAAATAAAAATAATACATGGACATTGCCACCAGCCCTTTAGCAGGTTTAACCCATTAACCAAAGCTCTAATGCATAAAGACATTAGCCCCATGGTGCCTAGGGCCCACCATGAACAGAGTGTTACCACCTAGAAATCCCACCTGTAATGGGAGAGGCTCTTGGCAGTGCTATGGCTCAGCTCTCCTTTCAGCATCCTTTCTGACCAGGATTCGGGCCCAAAGGGACATCACTCCAGGGGGTGGATCACAGTCACCCAGGGAGTTCTTCCTGAATTACAAAGGGCATCTCTCTGTTTCACCTGCTCTGCAACTAACAGAAATGTGTGAAAGAAAGAGAGAGAGAGAGAGAGAGAGAGAGAGAGAGAGAGAGAAAGAAAGAAAGAAAGAAAGAAAGAAAGAAAGAAAGAAAGAAAAAGAAAGAAAGCAGAGAACAAATAAGCTAGCCCACTGTGTCTCAGTTATGGCTGTCTATAAGACCCACTTGGGGCATCCCTTATCTTGAGATTCTGGTTCACTAGGTCAGAGCTGGGGCCTGAGAATCTACATTATGCGTAAGCACACCAGGTGATTCTGATAAGCAAGTTTTGGAAAACACAAGGCTAATCCAGGCCAGCAGAAGGTCTCACTGTTTTCTGTCCCAGAACGGGCAGTGGGATTGAGAGGGCGCTAGAGATTTTCCATTTGCAGTTAGTGAGAGAGTTAACCTGTAGCCTGTGCTAATTCCTTACAGCACCTTTCTCTCTTCTAACAACCTTAATTCCCGGCCACACAATGGCAGCTCAAAAATCTGGCCACCCTGACCTACTTTGGGGAGATGATTTGAGCAAAAGACGCCCTGTCTATCCTGGGTGACATTAACATCTCTCTCTTTGGCTTTGTGCTTAGACTGAAGGACCTGGAGCTAGCTGCTGTGGGCGGATCAGACGTCCATGTGAGGATGCTGGCGGCCCCTATCAATCCATCTGACATAAATATGATCCAAGGTAACCTTGGTTTCTGTGGCTTATGTTAATTGGCTTTTTTGCTTAGCCGGCCACCTCCTCGATTCCATTCTTCCTCAGGTGCGGGTGTGAAATTCCTGTGATTAGCAGCAGCTGTTCTCCAGATGAGCCATCTGCAGACTGCAAGCCCTCTCTGGCCTCCCCTCTCTGGAATGTGAGGCTTTTTGAGAGTTAGGAAGATTGCAGTGGGGAGTAAACCAACCACTGTGAGGTGCCTGCGATATGCTGGGCTCATTTCATACATTAGCTAATCCCCATAATAACCACGAATGCTGAAAAGTATTTCCCCTTTACAGATGAAAAGGCTGAGGCTCAGAGAGGCTGGTTAGTTACACAGCAGGCCAAAGGCAGACCCCAGATCAGGCTCAGATCCAACTCTAAAGTTCATGCTCTTTCACTGCCCGAGCTTCACCAGGTGACCCTCTGCTCTTCTCCCTTAGGAAATTATGGCCTCCTTCCCAAGCTGCCTGCTGTTGGAGGGAATGAAGGTGTTGGACAGGTGGTGGCAGTGGGCAGCAGTGTGACTGGGGTGAAGCCAGGAGACTGGGTGATTCCAGCAAATGCCGGTTTGGGTAAGTTTCTCCAGGTGTCTGCAGCCTTTCGTTGTTCCGGATTGTATTTCACCCACACTGGAAATGTTTGCACATTGGCTCAGTGTAACTGAGCAATGCGGGATTTATTATTGAGTCCATGTACCCACTGCCAGTAGGGATGGGAGCTGGACAAGGAGAGCAGAAAATCTGTTTCATCTGCTCTGGGGGTGACGACCTGTTCTCTCATCTCCTTGGGCCCGTATTGATCAGAGCTGTGATTCTCTGAATCCCTGCATCCCTAAATCCCCGCTAGATAGTACAATGGGAAATCCAAATAAGACAGCCCCTGCCCTTGCAGGAGGTTAAATTTTAATTGAAGAAATCTCCAAACTAGTAACTTCAATAAAGGGTGTGTTACATGTTACAAGTTTACAGGAAGCCGAGGACACTTCTGGCTCCTCTGTGTGCCCGCGAATGTGTGTGTGAGAGAGAGAGAGAGAGTGAGAGAGTCTTAAGGAAGGATCGGGGCTTCACAGAGGAGGCTTCTCTGGAATGGACGTTTGACGGGTGAATTATGTGAGGTGGAAATGAGCCAGAAATCATTGCATTTGGAGGGAGCAAAATGAGCAGACCCAAAGGTCGGTTTGGAAAATAGTGAGACATTCAATGTAGCCTTGGCAGAGGATTTGCGCACAGAAGTCTGCTTAAGTGATAAAGAAGGTCACACAGGTAGTGGGGCCACATGGGGGAAGCCCTGCAAAAGCCAAGCTAAGAAGTTGGGGTTTTCTTTGATATATGGTGAGTTGTTTGTGAGTTTTGTTCTTTAACACTTCACACTTTTTGAGGCACAGACATTATATACAGGATCGTGACAGCAATCACGAGAGGGAAGCAGGGAAGACACTAACCACCCCATTGGACATATAAGGAACTGAAGCTAAGGGGGCACCTGGGTGGCTCAGCCAGTTAAGCAGCTGACTTTGGCTCAGGTCATGATCTCATGGTCCGTGAGTTCGAGCCCTGCGTCGGGCGCTGTGCTGACAGCTCGGAGCCTGGAGCCTGCTTCGGATTCTGTGTTTCCCTCTCTGTGCCCCTCCCCCACTCTCACGTGCACGCGCTCTTTCTCTCTCTCAAAAATAAATGAACATTAAAAAAAGAAGAAGAAGAACTGAAACTTGGGAAGAAGCCCTTGTCCAAAGAGCAAACTGAAAGAGAACCCACCAAACTCTTATTCCCACTCTGTTTCTGCTAAACTACAGTGTTAGGACCCTTTGGGTTATAACTTACAGTCAACGCAAACTTGCTCTGCAAAAAAAGAAGTTAATTGATTTCTGGAACTGGGACGGGCAAGAGATGGAAAGCTGGATCCAGGAACCCCAGTGATACCAGAGCTCATTGTGTTTTCTTGCTAGTTCTCAGATAGGATCTCCCCACCTAGTGATATAGTAGCATTAACAAATATTTGTTGTCTACTCCCTTTGCACCAGGCCCTGTTCTAAGCACTTTACATGTATGGACTCAGTTATTCCCACAACAGGAGGTAGATATGAGATAAATATTAAATATTAAGCAACTTGCCCAAGATCGCCTAGCCAGTAAGTGGTGCAGCTGAGATTCAAACCGACCTTTCATAGATGGCCACCAGCATCCTGAGGTTTGCATCAAACTGGGAACAAATGAACATGGCCTCCACAATCTGTCCAGTGCAACCATATCCCTCCACCAGCAGGGCTCTGACCGACACTGCCTGGGTCTTTGCCCATCCATGAACCCCTTCATACTCAGTAGTTTCACACCATCTAAACTGCAAGTTTTTTCACAGCATAACTGACTGGCCGCAGGCAATTTTGCTGTAGAAGACAAAATTGTGAAAAATAAAAGAGGGACATTCACTAAAAAGGACATCATCAAACACAAAATGAGTAATGAAAAGACTACTGCAAAATACAAACTATTTCAGTACATTCAAAATGTATAGTGTAGATTCATGGCAATACACACAAATAACTGATTTTATTCTGTGGATCCACAAAATGTACCTAAGCACTTGTCTTCAAAGTCTTTTGTTCCTAGTATCACACGGTTTTTTGGTGCTTGTTGACTCGTCTCCTCAATCAGTATGGCACTTTTGTTGTTGCTGTTGTTGCTAAAATGTCTTCCTTGATCAGGTTCCAAATACTAGGGTGCGCATTTGTAACTGGGCTTTGTATCGGGTTGTGAAAGCCTTTCACATTGTTGTCTGGTTTTGACATATTGTCACATTTCCACTGATAGACGTTCCAAAGTTCTCTGGGAAATGTGGGTTCAAAACTCCATGCTACTTTTTAGACTGTTACAAGGGCTAAAGTTGATATAATATGAAATAGGAGGACTGTGTCAATGGAGAAATGAAACCAAACTGTCAACCAGCAGATGAAACCAACAAACTGTCAACCAGTTTTTGTTTTGTTTTGTTTTACAGCAACATTGCCTTACGTAATTAGTTATATGGCAAAAATACTTGTGGTAAAGATACTTATGGCCTAGAACCACACCAGGAGTATGGGGTTGGGTCATTCCAGTTGCCTCAATGGAGCATCTTGCCCACCTCTGTGGTTTAAAGGGTGGGGCCTTGTGGTTGACAGCCTCAGAGGTGAGGAGGGAGCAGTTCTAGAAAGAAAAAGGTACCAGGCAGGAAAAAAACAGTAACATAAGTCTATTAGAAGCTCTTTTTTTTGAGATCAGATTTGCTGCCAAGAATGGCCCCACTCTCTCCTGCAGCCCCACCTGGCCATGAAAGAGCCACGCCATCTGAGCAAACTGAGAGCTGCAGGATTCACTATCGATGCCGATGGACTGGTGCTTTGAGGCCGCCCCTGTCAGACACAGTCTCTGCCCTCAAAGTGTTCTTGGCTGGGGGTGGGGAACTCGAGAATGGAAAAACAACACGTAATACGTTAACAGTCTAGTTAGCGCTATAATGAGAGGATGGACACGAAGGCGAGAGCCCCCCATCTCGGGGAGCATTCGGAGCGACTTCCCAAAGAAGTGGTGCTTGAACTCCGTCTGGAAGACTGAGTAGAAGCATAGCCAGTGGGCTAGGTGAGGAAGCGCTGACAAGCAGTGCAGCATGTGCAAAGGTACGGCGGCAGGAGAAGGCTCGGCACTGTCTGAGCTGCTGTAGCCTGGTGCGGCTGTGTCCCTGCGGGGACGTAGGAGAAGCGAGATGAGGCTATAGAGGTAGGCGGGGACCCGGTCATGGAGGGCTGACATCTATGGTCAGGGAGAGCCCAAAGAAGAGTTACGAATGAGTGGGGGCGCCTGGGTGGCTCAGTCTTGGTTAAGCATCGGACTCTTGACTTTGGCTCAGGTCATGATCTCCAGTTTGTGAGTTTGAGCCCCGCGTCAGGCTCTGCACCGGCAGCTCCTCTCTCTGCCCCCTCGCTTTCTCTTCTCTCAAGATAAGTACACTTAAAAAAGAAGAAGAAGAAGAAGAGGACCAGACTTGGGCAGCACAGAGCATGATCTGGAGAGGCAGAGGGTAGAGGCAGGAAGCCAGTAAGGAGGTGGCTAAACAGATGGGGCTTCAGTTGATAAGGGTCTGAACAAGGCAGTGCCATGGGTCTGGGAAGACAGGTTGGAGTTAGGAGCTAGAGGAACAGAACTCGGTCACTAGATTTGGAGAGAAGAAGGGACGTCTGCCAGGGGTGTAGGGAATAGCACCTGTAGAGGTGGGTGTCAACCAGAACGGGGAATTCTCCCCAGAGAAGAGGGGAATCTTCCCCACCAGGTGCCAAAGAGCAAGAGGACTTTATAATGACCGGGACTCTAGCTCTGTTTATTTAGTAAACATTTTGTGAGCTGGCTCTGATATAGCAGTGAACAGACATGGCCTTTCTTCTAGTGAAGACTGCAGTTTGGTAAGAGTGGCAGCCATTAAACAAATACGTCCTCAACTGGCCGGACTTGGTCATCCTTCATGTTACTGAGCTGTGCCCATGGCCAGCTTTTTCCCACATGTCGCCAGTCCCCAGGGAGACTGGGCCAGAGAACGTGCAGACTGACTTTCTCATTGGAAACCCTCAAAACCCTCGCGAGGCAGCACAGGGCGGCAGCGAGAGCACCTGCTTGGGAATCTTCTTTCACCCTCTTGGGTGACCTTGTTTAAGTCACAGCTACTTTGAGCCTCAGTTTCTGCATCTCTAAAGTGGAGCTAACCATTGTTGCTGGCATATCTCAACTAATTCATGCAGCTCAGCTGAGGGATACGTACAACCATTATTGCGAATTAAAATTCTATACACATTAGATCAAGGTCAGCAAACTTTTTTTTAAAGGACCAATTCATGGGGTGCCTGGGTGGCTCAGTCGGTTAAGCATCTGACTATAGCTCAGCTCATGATCTCATGGTTTGTGGGTTTGAGCCCCACATCAGGCTCTGTGCTGACAGCTCAGAACTTGGAGCCTGCCTCGGATGCTGTGTCTCCCCCTCTCTCTGCCCTTCCGTCACTTGTGCGCTCTCTCTCTCTCTCTCTCTCTCTGGCCTTCTTTCTCTCTCTCAAAAATAAATAAATAGACTTAAGAAATTGTAAAGGACCAATTTGTAAATATTTTAGGCTCTGCAGGCCAACTGCCTACACTCAACTCTGCCATCGTAAACCATCATGGACAATACATAAAAAGTGATCATGACTATGTTCCAATAAAACTTGGCTTACAAAATCAGGTGGTGAGCCAGGTTTGGCCCATGGCCGCAGTTTGCCGACCCCTGCGTTAGATAGTGGAGATGGTTAAGGGTCAGTTGCACAAGAGCAAGGAACAGGAATCCTGAGAACTAGAGCATGGGACTTAGGACCAGAAAAGGAAACCAAGAGACATTACACACCTACTATGTACTAGGCACGGTGATAGTCTGTACAAATATCATTATATTTAATCTTCACACAATGACATTAGTGTCAAAGAAGGTAAAATGAGAATTCTAAATCACACAAATCAGGAATGGCAAAGCTGGGAGTTTTAAGCAGGTCCCCCACTCCAGGGTCTAAGGATTTTTACTTTAGAACCCTGAAAGCCCTCAGGGCTGACCATGGGCGCTGCCCCCATCCCACCCAGGTTCTCTTTAGAAGGATTAGGGACTGCCAGGCCCCAGAAATTTGTGTCAAGCTCTGAATTTCCATTGTTGTGCCTTTAAGGGAAATTAGAAAACACCCCTAATTTCATGCATAGAAAACCCTACACTAGGTGATTGGCCAGAGTAGACACGGCACACGTTGGCCAAGAGAAGTAGGGGCCATGATGACGAAGGTGACCGTGAAGATTTGAAAACCAGGCTGGGTGAAGCCCAGAAAAATGCCAGGATACCGCCTAGATTCCAAAGGAACCCATCAGTTTTTCAGCGTCTTATTTTCTCAGCCACAGATCTACCAGTGCAGCTCTTAAGAGAATGTGTTCCTGCCTCTTGTCTATACTACCTGGTCCCTAAAGCCCACATTGTCTCTCTCCACTTACGGTGCAAGTAGTAGTCACCTAGGCTGTCCCCTCCACCCCACCCCTGACCCTGTGGAGCCAGGGTACCATTAGAATCCCAGCAACTGGGCAGGTGCACACGCTCCAGAGTGGCCCCTAAGATACCACAGCCACCAGATTCCAAGCCAGTAACAGTTTCTCTAAGGCGACCTAGCGAGTGCACGGTCCAAGAGCCAAGGCTTGAATCGCGTCTGTTTGTCTCCAAGTCTGTTCTCCTCACCTCTGCTTTACACAGGATCCTGCCCGCATGGGTGAGCACCTGTCAGATGCAGGTTGTGACCCATCAGTGAAATTGATCCAATGGGTTGCAAACGGCACTTTTTTCCCCTAAAATCAGTCACAGTAGAATAGAAAATAACAGGATATCATACACAGTAGGGTAAATATTGTCCCATGAGCCTTTGATTTCTGTTACATGTAGGGGTACATATTTATATATGTGAATGTACTGAGGGACAGCATAGCTCACGGTTACTGTGGGTCAGGATCGTGAGAGTCTGGGGGACGTTCCTGTGGTCCAAGCCACTTCAGCCATGGCCCGAGCCTGCCTTCCCATCACTCTCTGCCCCGCAGCGTGTATCCTCCTAGGTCCATCTTCTGTCTGTCCTGCCTCAGAGCCTCTCCATATGCTTTTTCCTCTCCTAGACCATTCTTGGTGTACTCCGTGAGTGACATTCTTGGCATCTGTACCCTTTAACTCTTAGCCTGCACCTCCTCAGAGAAGCTGTCCCTGACCCCCATCTCAAGGAATTCTCCCCACTGTAATTGTCTGTTTCTCGCCTGATTTCCCCTGGAATGAAACTCCGTGAAAGGACGGAACGCGTCTACACTGTCCGAGCACGTGGTGCACACTAAGTATCTGTAGGTGGGGCGCCCAGATTAGTCAGGTGACTTTGGGCAAGTCACTTTCTTTCTTGGCTTCCTACCCTGTTAAATGAGGAGGTTAAACTCGATGCTCTAAGGGCCTTCTCAACACAGACATTTTACAATTCTTTTGTCTGCAGCTAGAACGTGGCCTGGAGGTTAATGGTCACTTCTCTCCAGTTTACAAGAGTTTGTCATTGCCCTTGTGTCATTTGATTTGTGCAGCAGCTCTTGGAGGAGGCCAGTATCATTTACATATGAGGGTAACCAAAACTCAGTAATTTGCGCAAACCAGCAGACCAGCAAAACCAGGTCCCGAAGCTAGGCCTTTGACTTCTACTTTCATGCTTTTTTCCGTAATACCGCCCAAGTCAACGCGCCCTACGGAAGGAGAATGAGGACCGAATAGGGAAAGGGAGGCTTTCGCAGCTTCTCTTGCCCTGGTTGTGATGTTACTCAGAATCCAGTAGCTTCAGATCCTTAGCTACATCTGATGGAACTAATGTGCTAATAACAAAATCGCTATCATGAGGACTCAGAGATTCAAAAGGATTTCAAGATCTTCTTCTTTCCCTGAGTCTTACTTGAATTGAAGGCTGATGTCTTAGGCGCCCATTTACTGAGGAGGGTGTCTTGGGGCCAGTTGTGGAGAGAGAGCCTTTCTCACGATCCCGGCCCCATCCCCTGACTCAGGAACCTGGCGGACTGAGGCTGTGTTCAGCGAGGAAGCGCTGATCGGAGTTCCAAGTGACATCCCTCTTCAGAGCGCCGCCACCCTGAGTGTCAATCCCTGCACGGCCTACAGGATGTTGATGGACTTTGAGCAGCTGCAGCCAGGTAGGAACCGCCAGGTGCGGGGAGCAGGCTGGGATCTCCGGACTGGGTGTGACCCACATCCTGACCCCGAGGCCCTGGCAGCTCACCAGTAAGGGGCCGAGAGGAAGACGGGCCCCTAACCTGGGCAAGTGTGTGGTTGCTGCTTTTGTTTTGTTAGCTTAGTTCCTAGAAAGTGTGCTGGAACCCCATGAGGAGAACACTCTGGAAAACCGCTGAGGGATCACATTCCCTGGAGCTTGGGATGGAATTCTGCCTTTCAGCAGAAACGTATGGCGCTGTGCTAAGGTCTGTGACACAACAAAGCCAGACAAGATAGACGGTGCCTGTGTTCTCAGTAAAATGCTGAACTGAGTAATTCCACTCAGCATTTCTATGGCACTTTCCAGGTCACATAAGTGCCTTCCCATGCGTTACCCCAGTGACTGCATTAAATCCTCAAAGCAGTGTGGTGAGGTTGGTATCACCGGTTGAGAGTTCAGGCCCCAGGCAGACAACCTCAGTCTGAATACCAGAATCACCTTTCGCTATGAACCGACCTCTCAGATCATCAGATTTTTCACCTATAAAACGGACAATAAGGGGTTTTGATGGTTAGCTGGAACACTGCGGTGTAACAGCGCGGGGCCTGGCACACAGCGCAGTAATTAAGCGCTGCTTTTATTATTCTTCCTTTTCATAAAGAAGGAGACTGAGGTCCAGAGAAGTAAACTACTTGGGCGAGATCACTCAGCAAGGAAATGACAAAGCCGGATGTTCTATTTGGGGTTCCCTGAAAGCAGAGCCTGAGGCAAGGACTGAGTGAGGGTGGACAGTTTGCTGGGGGGGTGATCCCAGGAAGCAGGAGTGAAGGATTGGGAGAGGGAGCCAGGGAAAGGAGGAAAAGCCAGTGAAGGCTGATTACTGCTGTGGGCGAGCAGGGCTCAGTCTTGCTGGGAGGAGGCCTCCAAAGATCCTCATAGAACCCACCTCAGCATTGGCCTAACCCTTCACCCTATGCATGTCCACGGACTATAGAAGTCACCTAGTCTAGCTCTGCCACGCCAGTGAGGAAACTGAGGCAGAGACGTTGGAACGCGATAAGCTTAGATTGCCACTAATGCTTGTAGCTGGCTGAAAACCAGTCCCAGCTTCCTGCAAAGAGAAAGGCAGGTTCTCCCAGCTGTGCCAGGGCGATCCTGGGAGGCTTTGGTGGAGAAAACCAGTCCTGGTTAAGGAGACATTTTGGTCCCCTGCGTCTCATCCCCTCCGGCCACCTCTAATTTGGGCCACAGTTGTGGTGGACATCAGGGTATTCTGACACCACCCCACCTCAGTTGCCCGTGGCATCTCTCCACCTGCCTGCCTGAGGGCAGGTGTGGTCTGGGCTAGATCAGTGTTAAACTAAATTGTCATACTGACCCATAGTAAGAATTACATTTTACACTGTAATCCAGTACATAGATATATGTATGAGTATCTATATAACGGAAACCAAAGTTTTATGGAGCAGTATTTGCCCTTACTATGTGTGATGCAGTGTGTTCTTCTTAATTCTCTGTTCCTCAATCTTAACTGAAAAAAAAAAATGTTGCTTACAACCCACTAGCTTGGTTTCATAACCCACTGATGACAATCTGTGAGCTGACTCCTGCCTACAGAGAATAGGCATTCTTCTTCCAGGAAATCCCCTGTCTGTAGCACCAGATCCCTGCATTTCAGATCATATTTCAGGGGTGACAGAGCACCTTCCTGGACACAGTGGCATTCGACTAATCCGGAGCATCCTGATTGGCACTCCCAGGATTCCTGTTTTATGCGGAGGAAACGGAGGTCATGACCTCTCTCATGTCATTCAGTTACGGCCAGTGGGGAAGCCGGGACTCACACCAGATCGATCTGATTTCAGAGCCCACGTTTTCCCCAGCATGCCACGCTGCCTCCCCCACTGGCTAGTTCCAAAGCCTGGGCTTTGACCACAGACTATCTGTAGGATGCTGTTTCTGGAGCTCTGGGTTTCTCCAGCATTGATCCCATTTCAAGGCAGTGTGCCCTTACTGAGCAGCACAAAGGGGGAATAAGGCATGGCCATGTCCTCAGGAAGCTGCAGGCTCTTGCTAGAAATGGGCATGTCCACAACCAAGTATAAGACAGGGCACACCATGTGCGGAGAGAGAGCCAGGGGAGCACACAGAAGGAAGATGGGAAGGGGGCTGCGCTTGAGCTGTGCTTCAAGGAGTATATGGGATTTCAAAACGAAGGAAGAGAGAAGGAGGGAAACATTGCAAACCATGGAAATAATCTAAGAGATTTGAGGGCATAAAAATCGAGAGGATGATGAACAATATAAAATCGTTTACACAGTGGGATCTAAATTACATATAGTATGGACTCTTAATTGCCAAGCGCTGGGAGGCACCATGGGTGTCATGGAATTTGGAGGTGGGGGGGGGGGGAGTCACTGGGAAAAGAGTAAGCAACACTCCAGGATCTGAGAAGACTCAGCAGCCAGGTCCTGGGTCATTCTGAGCCTGAGCACTCCCATCTCTTGCCCTACAATAGTATCCCAGACAGGAAGCACTTGACCTGTTTACAGGTCTTCAGGACTTGACTTGGGTCTCTTCCTGGCTCTACAGGAGACAGTGTCATCCAGAATGCGTCCAACAGTGGAGTGGGGCAAGCAGTCATTCAGATCGCCGCAGCCCTGGGCCTGAGGACCGTCAATGTGGTCCGAGACAGGTGCGTGGGGGGGCCTGATCCCAGTGCACGAGACTTAGGCCTTTCCACCCAGCATCCCTGCAAGCGCCCCTGTGTCCACCAGATGGCGCCCGTGCACAAGCAGCCCGCAGACCGATCCTTCAGCCGCCGGAAAGGAGGCCCACTTGGCCTCTGGCTATAGGATGAGTGAATATCCCAAATGTAAAAGGAGAGCAGGAAGGAGCTGAAGCCGGCCCTTGCTGAGCAGCTGAGAGTTTTTGTGTCTGTGATAACCTCGTGATTTCAAGGCCACGCTTCGTATTTGGGAATCTGTTAAGCTATGTTTGTTATTCCTTCTGTAACCTGTCTGACCCGGGGCCCTTTCTCCCCTTGCATCTGTGTGGCACTTGAGCTGTACTAAATATGGATGTGAAGGAGATGGGGCAGGTTTGTCATCTGTGTTACAGTGAGGAAACAAGGTTCAGAGAAAGGAAGCCATTTGCTCAGGAAGACCCAGCAAGTCAGTAATAGACTTAGTTCCCTGCCTTGTTCTCTTCCCATCGTGCCATCCAGTTTCCTTAAGCCTCACTGTCAACAAACGTGGCTATATCTGTGGTGGAAGTCCAGTCTCTGGGGGAGAGTTGACACTCGCTTCCCTTCCCTATTCCCTCAGTTGTGTGAACAAAAATCAGCCTGTTTGCCCTGGCCAAAGAGGCTCAGAGCCACCCCTGGGCTGGAGTATGTTTGCACAACACCCTGAAGAGCCCCTTGAAAAGAGGAGGAGAAAGGAAATGAAGTTTGTCATTTCAGTAGACAAAATCAGGAAGTGAAATGACTTCTCCCTGGGCCAGATGGTTTCTAGCACCTTTGAGCTGGCAAGGACTGTGGAAATCACCCTGTATTGCCAGTGAGGAAACCGAGGCCAAGAGGTGTTGGAGTGTGATGAAATCCGGTAGCCAGCCCCTGCGTAGGGCCTGGCTTACCCTCAATCCCAGCTTCCCACAAAGAGAAACTCATGTTCTCACAGCCATAGCACAGGAGTCCTAGGAGTCTCTGGGAGAGAAAGGCAGCAGGAGTGACTAAGGGCTGTGGATTGTGCTTGGTTTCTAGGCCTGACATCCAGAAGCTGACTGACAGACTGAAGAGTCTAGGGGCCGAGCATGTTCTCACAGAAGAGGAGCTAAGGAAGCCTGAAATGAAAAATGTCTTTAAGGTATGTAGGCTGAGGGGCATTGTGCCTTCATTCCATGCTCCTCTCCCTGGAAAAAGTTGACCTGATAGAAAAGCTGGGACTGGCCCCGTCACTTCTCTCCACATCCTCCCTTCATCTCTTTGTGGAAGGACAAAACCCATTCCCTCAGCCAGGGGACGGCATGCATCAAGTGCCCAGATGCTGTGAGGGAGGCGGTAGAGACAGACGAAGTCCAAGAAACCCTGGATTATTTGTGCTTTTGAATATTTTTAGCAGGCCACATCAGCCCATGCAGTTAGTGTGAGGCTCAGAGCTGGGAGAGGACCTGAGGAAACTGAGCCACAGAGAAGGAAGAGAAAGAAAGAAGTACGTCTCTGAAGCCCTTTCTTTATTGTATCTGATAATCCCCACCAAAGGTCAACAAAGCAGGTGCTCTCTCTTTTCTAGATGAGAAAACCAAGTCTCCAAAGAGATAAAGGATTTCGCCAAAGCCACACAGTTATAAGTGGAGTCAGGGCTGGCCCCAGGTCTCTCTGAACTCACAGCCTCTTAACCTTCTAGAACCTCCACCCCCCAGCATACCTAACAGGTGACCAAACTTCAGCCTCTTTCTCCTGAACCCAGGAGGGACCAAACGCACACACCCCCTGGAGAACACCTGCCTCTTAAGAACATTTCCGGAGCGGCAGATCAGCACCTCTAACTCAAACTGAGCTGTGAGCACAGAGAAGAAGTACACTTGGGGGACCTAGAGTCCTTCGAAAAGGAATGTACGTGCCCTCTGTCTGTCCTTTCCTAGAGAGGAGAGAAGTTTTGAACAAAATTCCAGAACGTAACAGGATTAAGCTGATAAAGCAAAGGTCCTTGCAGAGCAGAGTGTGAAGGCAACACTATCCCATTTTCCTTCACTGCCCCCCACCCCCGACACAGCACCTGTGGAAAGGAAGTGCTGTTTGTGGCAAGCTCTAGACCCCACGAGTAAGGGGGCACCTGGCGGGTTCTGTCGGTAGAGCATGCAACTCTCAGTCTCAGGGTCGTGAGCTCAAGCCCCACACTAGGCATGGAGTCTACTTAAAAAAAAGAAAGAAAAAGGGGCGCCTGGGTGGCTCAGTCAGTTGAGTGACCGACTTCGGCTCAGGTCATGATCTCGCGGTTTGTGAGTTCGAGCCCCGCGTTGGGCTCTGTGCTGACAGCTCGGAGCCTGGAGCCTGCTTCGGATTCTGTGTCTCCCTCTCTCTGCCCCTTCCCCACTCATGCTCTGTCTCTCTCTGTCTCAGAAATAAATAAACATAAAAAAAATTTTTTTTAAAGAAAGAAATCCCTCACATACAGTGGTAGCTCCCTCACTACAGGTTCCTTATTTTCCAGGACATGCCCCAGCCCCGACTTGCTCTCAACTGTGTTGGCGGTAAAAGCGCCACAGAGCTGCTGCGACACTTAGCGTAAGTCCCTTGGCCCTGCAAGTCTTGTTGGCCCAAGCTCTCCGGGCTTGTAGCTGGGAGGACTGGCAAGTGACCCAATCCCAGTGGGCAACGCAAGCCAAGCCAGGTCAGCATAACCCTGGGTAGGAAATGGATCGCCATCATTTCCTGGTTATCCAGGCACTTCCTTTCTCAGCCTGTTCCTTTATAGGTGACCGACAGACCCAGCCGCTTTGTTTTTCCAAGGGACCCCAGAAGTAGATGGCTAAGCTTTCTGTGATAGGGGAACAGTTAAGGATTCATAACCTAGGGGCCTTTTCAAAAGTCACTTAGTCCTAGCTTGTTAGCTTTTAAATTTTTTATTAGCTTTTAAAAATAGATTCTAATTTTAGAGGTAACGTTATTGCTATTACAAAGCATTTTGAAAGCATGTAAAAGTACAAAGGATGGGGCACACCTGGCTGGCTCAGTCGGTGGAGGGTGCAATTCTTGATCTCAAGGTTGTGAGTTTGAGCCCCATGTGGGGTGTGGAGATTACTTAAAAAATAAAATCTTCCCCCAAAAAGGACAAAGGAAAAATTAAGCAGGAAAGTTAGCTATCATCCCACCACCAAGGGGGATAAGCATTGTTGACAATATTAACAGTGGGTGTCCTTCCATTCTTTTTGCCATTAATATAAAGTCCCTGGGGCGCCCGGGTGGCTCAGTCGGTTAAGCGTCTGACTTTAGCTCAGGTCATGATCTCAAGGTCTGTGAGTTCGAGCCCCGCGTCAGGCTCCGTGCTGACAGCTCAGAGCCTGGAGCCTGCTTCGGATTCTGTGTCTCCCTCTCTCTCTGCCCCTCTACCACTCGTGCTCTGCCTGTCTCTCTCTCTCTTTCTCTCAAAAATAAATAAACATTTAAAAAATATATATAAAGTTCCTGAGCTGAGGAACTTTCCCACTAAAGCAAGAATCCCCTCAGCAACATTGGTTGACACATTCTTGCTAGCACTCACTAGCTAAGGGACACAGAGATGGCTCAGGCACTGAAGGAACTCTCTAGAACTCCTAGGCTAGATGGGGAGATGGGTCATGTGGTCAGAGAGCTGTGATAGTGATCGCTGAGTATTCGCCTGTGCACCAGACTCTGTGCAGAGTGCTTGACTTACCCCGCCCCCCTCCGCAACCACCAAAGGGGGGGATACTCTGCCCATCCCCGTTGATACAAGGCCCAGAGAGGGTAATTACCTTGCCCAAAGTCTAGGAAGTGGAAGAGCCAGGCTTAACCCCAAGTTCTCGTGACTCCTGCGTCCACCCCTCCTGCCCTACTTCGGCAGCCTCAAGGGCAGCCCATGACGCCCGCAGCACTCGCTGTAGGAGGAAGCCTTGAGCAGTAGTTACAGATGTAGGCGCTGGAGTCAGAAAGTCCCAGCTCTGCCACTTACTAGCTGTGGGCCTGTGAAAAGTTAGGCAATACATAAAAGATCCAGGCCTCAGTCTCCTCGTGTGTACAGTGGGGGGATAGAAACCCTTTCTGCCTCAGAAGGGTCGTCTGAAGACACTGAGGTGATGCACAAATCGCCATACAGACAGAGGTGGGCTTCGTTTTCCCCGCTGTAAAATGAGAGCAATAAAAGTGCTCCCTGGGGGTCCCAGGGACGACTCACCACATCAGTGCACATGGAAATGCTCAGACCTGGCCCCAGCACCTAAAAAACGCCCAGTAAACGTCAGCTATTCAGATTAGAACAAGTGCGGAGGCTGTGGGGAGTTGGGGGGGAGGGCTTGATCCCAGAAAGGAGCTACTTTCTGGGACAAGTGTCAGGCGAAGGGAACTTAAGACCAAACTGCCCACAAACCTCATGGACAAAGAGTTACGTGCCTCACACAGCAACAGCTTCCGCTTTGTAGTTCACAAAGCACCACGTCCACACCCGCCATCATCCTTGACCAGCAGACTCCTAAAAGCCAGGGAGTGGGGAAGGGAACACAGGTTAAATGGAGCACAGAAGTCCGAGCTTATTAGTCTTTAAAAATCATTTGAGCCTCTCCCCTGTTGGACTGCTGGGGCAGGTGTGGGTGTCAGACAGCAGGTCCTGGCAAGACCCCTCCTGCAGCGACGCAATTGCCCACTGCCCTCCCTCTCCCCACCCACACTGTTCCTTATCTGTATGGCCATCTCACCTCACGGATCCTCAGGTGAGTCCGGACAGACGGAGGGCAGAGGTCTGCACTGCACCAGTGTCTGCACTGCCCAAGGCCACACATCTAGGAGTGGAGGGGAGCCAGGTCTTGAGCTCTTCTCAGTAGAGCGTGCTTCTTTGTAACACTTCATCCAAGCCCGGCTGGGTGGTTAGATCGGTGGGTTCCCAACCCTGGCTAAACATCATGTCATCTGGCAACGTGTTTGTTGGTTGACTTTAATACAGGTTCTTGCTTCCTGATACGTTAGGTCTGGGTCGAGCCTAGGAATCTGTAGTTTTTGAAACATTCCCAAGGATTCTGAGATCAAGGTTCAGAAACCAGGCTTGGAGGGGCGCCTGAGTGGCTCAGTCAGTTAGTTAAGCATCTGACTTTGGCTCAGGTCATGATCTCACGGTTCGTGAGTTCAGGCCCCGCGTCAGGCTGTGTGCTGATGGCTCACAACCTGGAACCTGCTTTGGATTCTGTGTCTCCCTCTTTCCCTGCCCCTCCCTCCCTCTCTCTCTTCCCACCCTCTCTTTCTCTTTTTTTCTCTCTCAAAAATAAATATTTAAAAAATTTTTTTTTTTTTAACAAAACCAGGGTGGGAATAGAAGTGTTCCGGCAGGTTTGAGAAGAGCTCTATCTCTGTCTCTACCCACTCTATTCTCTCTGGTCTCTTCAGGCCTGGGGGAACCATGGTGACCTACGGGGGAATGGCCAAGCAGCCTGTCATAGCCTCTGTGGTAAGCTGGTGAGGGAGGCAGACCTGGACACCACAGTTGTCCAAACCCACATGGTGCCCTTGTCCTTGGGCAGGAGGGTGGGGGTGGGCGGGTCTGTACTTTAGGCATCACTCGAAGTGCTTGCCCTCAGAGCCCAGTACGTCCTTGTTGTGTCCACAGAGCCAGCTCATTTTTAAGGATCTCAAACTTCGAGGCTTTTGGTTATCCCAGTGGAAGAAGGACCACAGTCCAGGTGAGTGGATGATGGCCCCATTGCGGACGGTCGCATGAGAGGGCAGTGCCTACTGCAGAAGTGACCAGCCGTTCTGAGCTCTGGAGAGGTGGTTGGCTCCCCAGCACCACGGCAGTTTAAAGGAAAATATTCTCTAGCCACAGCCGCAGCCAGCAAATAGGTATTGGGGGAAAGTGGGCTAGTCCTAGGGGGTGGCGGCACTGAGCAAGGCAGACACTGTCCTGTCCTGAGCAGCTGCCAGTGGGGAAAACTGCCATGGAAGACAGCCACGTAAAGGGAGTAAATTCTGGAGCCGGCCCACCTGGGTTCAAATCCTGCTCCCACCATTACTAGTGATAGGTTCTGCCTGGCCTAACCCTGGGGTCTGCACAAGTTATTTCCACCTCAGTTTGGATATCATAGTTGCCTAGACGTCGTTAGCCCTGTGTGGTAGAGGAGGAAACTGAGGTTCAAAGTGGTTAGGTAGCTTGTCCAGTCGCCCCACCTAGGGAGTGGTGCAGCCACGGTGTGAACTACTCTCTTCGAGTCCAGAACCTGAGCCAGTACACTGCTCTTCCTCTTCTGGAGGGCTGGCTGCCCAGAAGGTGACCCCTCGAGCTGAGACTGAAGAATCACATGGAGTCGCCCCGATGCAGGGGAGGAGAGTGGTGGCGTCAGTGGCGTACTTCAGGCCGGAAAAGTAGCCCATGCAAAAGCCCATTGCGGAGGGTGGGAGCCTGGCCAGATAGGTTGCGACCAGATTATGACAGGCCTTGCAAACCTTAAGGAGCTCAGACTCTACCTGAAAGGCAAGTGAAGATCCACCGAAGCGCTTTCAACAGGGGGCGTGATTAGAGTTGAATGTTGCATGATTTGATGTCTATGAAAAAACATTTGTCAGCCTAAGCCAAGACCATATTGCCACTTCCCATCTTCCTGGGCCATACTGGGGGCAGGCCCTAAGAGGGGATGTTCGGGACCTCTCACCTCGTAGGGTTCTAAGGGAGCCCTGGGCTCTCAGGGAAAGCTCCTTTCCCTGAGCAAAGCCCGTATGTTCCACTCCAGCTGGCCCGTCAGGCACACCCACCCCTCCCTGTGCCTCTTCTAGCTGCCTCTTCTAGCTGACTCAAAGTAATCCTGCCCCTCCTGCCATTCAGGACTCCCAGTCACATCCCAGTCAGGTTCTGTGGGTCTGCGCCCTCGTAGCCACCACTCTGCCTGCCCATCAGCTCCTGGGGCCGCTCCCCGTCTCCTCTGTCCTACCCCGCCGGGGACCGGTTTGCCTCCACAGCCTCCCTATCCATGGCCAAGCCTGGGCTCTCGGGCTTTCCTGGAGTTCAGCGCCAGCTCCTGCCACTGGGGGTGGCCCACGGTCTGTCTTGCCGCTGTTTCCACGTCTGACTTCCTCCAACCTCCCACAGCCCAGTTCAAGGAGCTGATCCTCACACTGTGCAGTCTCATCAGCCGAGGCCAGCTCACGGCCCCTGCCTGCTCCGAGGTCCCACTGCAGGACTACCAGCGTGCCTTGGAAGCCTCAATGCAGCCCTTCGTGTCTTCAAAGCAGATTCTGACCATGTGCTAATCGCATAGGAGCCAGAGTGAGGTGGGAGGGAAGACGGATCGGTAGGACTGGTTTCGGGCCCCTCGGTCAGGGCCCTCAGCTTTCCCCAGGCTGCCCTCTGACTAGGGGGGTTGTGAAGCCAGCCAGGGCCAGCCCCTGGGTATCTAATAAAGTCTGAACTTCCTAAAAACAGACACACGCAAAACCAACAGAAGTCATCCCTGTCGAGAAGAACCCTCAGTTGTGCACCTGCCATTCCAGCATTAAGAAGCCCCCTTGCCCATCCTCCAACTTGTCCTCCAGCGATGATTTCCTGACCACCCTGAAAGCAAAGTGAGGGTGGGGACTGGCAGGTACAAAAGCCAGTAGGATGCAGTCTCCACCCCCAGGCTGTCCCAGAGGAATAGAAAGGAAGGTTTGACTCATTCTGGGTGGTGCGGGGCTCCGTGTGGGATGGGAGGAGGATCAGCTACCTGAGAGGGTGAATGCCAGGCTAAGGAGCCAAGGAGTCGGGGTCTCAGGTGGCTGGACCACCCTCCTGGAATGTCTGTCCTAACTGGGGAAATAGTTGTTACACCAGTGCTTCTCAACCTGAAGTCATTTTACCCCCAAGGACGTTTGACAGTGTCTGGAGACGTTTTCAGTCATAATTGACAGGGTGCGATCGGCATCTAGTGGGTAGAGATCAGTGATGCTGCTCAGATAGCATCTGGTGCACAGAACAGCCTTCCTCAACAGAATGATCCAGCCCAAGATGTCCATAGTGCCACTGTTGAGAAACCCTGAATTAAGCTAACAGTCCCACAATCACTGCCCTGGTGATTTCAAGTGCTAAAGAAGATGCATGCGAAGTGCTATGATGGCATAACTGAGGTCTTGTCCTAGGCCTGGAGTCAGGGGAGCCTTCCTGACATGAAAGTGGGTTCTGAAAATGAGTAGCTTTATTCAGAGAAAGAGAAGAGTTTGACATCATGTGACTTTTTGTGTTTCCCTTATGATCCACTCACCCTGATGGAAAAAAACTAGAGACTCGGGAATGTTCCCTGGTCACCGGGCCTACTTTCTCTTAGCTCAAGAGCCTCTTTCAAGGAGTATTTACTAGATACCCAGTGTGTGCCTGAGGCTAGGGATGCCTGTGAGGGGGCGGAGGCAGGGGCTGGCCCTCTGGCTGCTTAGCCTAGTGCAGGGGACCAACCTTCCCAGCATACTAATGAGGCCTCTGACAGAGGTGTCCAGAGGGCCCTGGAGACACGGCAACTCTGCCTGAGGGTTGAAGGAAGCCTTCGTGGAAGAAGTGTCGTCCACAGCATATGGTGAAAGCCAAGCAAGAAAACGTGCATCCAGCAGAACCAGCAGCACATGCACAAGCCTGCTTCTGCTGCCTGAGGTTGGAGAGTGTGAGGGCTGAGGTGGGAGCTGTGGGTACAGGTCAGAGCAGGAAGGTTCGAGAATTCAGGACTTACCCTTCAGAACTGGCGAGGCACAGAGGGGTTTTCAGCAGCAGAGTGATATGGGAAAACTGGCTCAGAAGACCAGAGGGCACCCAGGCTTATCACAGACACGTACATAGGCCCCTGACCTAATGCTCTTGCCTTTGGGAGCATCTTGTGTGTCCTCTGGAGAAAAGGACTTGGCTTCAGCCCAGAGCTGGGGAAGGTCTGCACGTGTCCTCTTGATAAGAGTTGCTACCTTGTGCACGTAGGCTCAGGATCAGCCCCAGCTTGCCCAAGTCCCTCCTGTCCCCTGTCTTCTGTCCTTGAAAAAAACGCCTGAGAGGGTGGAGGAGGCTGCCCAAAGGCTACAGGAATGAACGGTTAGAATTACGTTCTTCAGGAGGAGTCCACAGTGTTGGGTTAGGGGAATGATGAGCCTGCAGCCATGGAGAGGGGGCAGCCCCTGGTACAGACTCAGAGGAGATAGACACGATGGAGGAAGGTTCCTAACACTATGGTTAGAGACCCTGTGGAGGGCCGTGCAAAACATCCTAAGAACAGTATCTCTAGGGGTCTGGAGGTGACATTTGGTTGTGCTTTATTTTCTTTATTTTTATTTTTTTAAATGTTTCTTTTTGAGAGAAAGAAAGAGCATAAGCAGGGGAAGGGCAGAGAGAGACACACACACACACACAGAATCTGAAGCAGGCCCCAGGCTCTAAGCTGTCAGCACAGAGCCTGACGCGGGGCTCGAACTCACGAACTGCAAGATCATGACCTGAGCCGAAGTCAGACACTTACGCGACTGAGCCACCCAGCACCCCCGGGCTGTGCTTTAAAGGATGATTATAGTTTTCTCAGAGAAGGGAGACATGCCTTCTAGACTAAGGGACCAGATTAAGCAAAATATATTATGGAGGCAGGGCATTTATGTTAGAATCTTGTCATTTCCCCCCAAATATCCGTTCGCTTCCTAAGAACACGTGATTTTTACATAGGCACATGGTAGCCTGGAATAAATAGCTTTCCTGCCTTCCTTGCAGCAGACAAGGTCCATCCCTTGTGATGCAAGCAGAAGTGGTAGGTGTTGATTTCTTAAGAACCTCTTTAACATATAGCCAGCATCCAGCCTGTACCTGTTTCTTCCCCTTCCATCTTCCTCCTGGCTGGCACACAGACCTGATTCCTGGAATTTGTACAGCCGTCTTTGATCATGTTAAGAATGGGTCACTGACAAGATCCAAGAAGCCTGGGTTCCTGGCACCCAGAAGCCCCAGCTGCCCACCTCAGGATTTGTTTTACATGAGAAGCCTCTGTGTTATTTAATTTTGTAGAATTTGGGCTGTCTCTGAAGCTAACCATAAGTGATAACGTATTCTATGATTCAATTTATATTGGAATTAATCAAGCTGAAGCTGAAAAACTGAATTGCGGCTGTCTGTGATTCCCCACTAAGGAATTTGAACTTTAGCCTGTGGGCAATAGGGAACAAAAGATTTCTGAGCCAGAAGATGAGAACTGTGCTTTGGGAAAACAATTCCTCTGGCAGCAGTTTGGGGGACAGTTGGGAGAAGGGAGGCACTAAACGAAGAGAGAAAGTCAGAAATTCCCAGGCTTCTGAATTTCAGACAAGTAAAATCCGCAGAAGTTTCAAAGGCCGGCGTGAGGATTACCAACGTCTAGGAGGCCAGCAGAGAAAGGAGACTGTGACAAGACCGTGGCAAAAGAGGGTCTGACTTCAACTGGATCATCTCTTCCATATTCTACAAGTATAGGAGGCTGTTTTTCATTTTCATGCTGTGGAGTTGGGACAGCTCTGTTGGCCCACTAAATAAACAAAATCCTTTCTAAATGGCTGGGGGAGGAACCTTTGGCTCCAGGAGACTAAAAGAAGACGAACAGGCATTACCTCCTAAACCAAAAAGCTTGGGCACACCTGACGCCCTGAGGCTTCATGACTGTGGTGCTCCCTGTTTGTTGTCTTCTGGGAGCATCCACCCTGCCACCACCTACAGCCATTGACATAATATTGACTGCTTTGTGTCTTGGGAGATGAGATAGATAAGCCTGCTTTCCTCAGGGAAAGACGTGAGGCCCAGAAGAAAAAGGTTCTTGGATTCATCTGAGTGTCGCAGGCACGCATGTCCTTGCCCCTGAAAGCTCCTGGCTGCATCTGCCAGCCTCATGCTTCTTGGTAGGCACCATGCCCTGGGTAAGACACTGGGCCCATCCAGAGCAGCTGGAAATGGTAGAGAAGAGAGACTTAGGCCTGGCACAATATCTGCCTGCATTTGCAGGCAGGAAAATCCAGGAACATGGCAGAGGTAAGGGGATGTTCGCACTCCCTGAAAGAAAAGAAGGCTTTCCCTGTGCCCTTAACCCTTTGCAGTGTATAAACCCTTTCACCCACATCTCCATTTGATTTTTGCAACTTCCCTCTATCATTGAGATTTTAATATCATAACTTTACAGAAGAGGAAGATGCCAAGCAAGGTGAAGTGAATTGCTCAAGGTCACACAGCAGGCAGCAGATCTGACACTAGGAGCCAGGTCCCCTGATCCTGTCTGGTCCCTATACCAGTCCTGATTTTTTTGGCTCCAGTGATCATTAACATGTCAATCAGAAAAGAGTTCAAATTTCCCTGAGTCTGTATCTCATGGAGAGGCAGGAAAAAAGGGGAATCAGGAGGCTGTTAAAGTAGTTCCGGTAAGAGATCATTCATTTGTTCATTTAGTAACTGTTTTGAATGCCCATATGTGAAAAGCATTGTCATGGGTGCTAGGGATACAGTAGGAGAGAGACAAAGAACTTGGCCCTGGATACCAGGGAGCTTACATCCTAGTGGAGAAAGACCATGAACAAGTGAATAAACAAGGTAATTGCAGAGTATGGTAGGTGCTGTGAAAAAATCAAATAGAATACAGTGGTATCCTAGTGATGGGATACTTGAGATAAGGTGGGCTGGGAAGGTCTGAGACCTGAATAAGGAGTCAACCATATTGCAGACAGAAGTAACAGCCCAGTTAAAAACCCTGATGTGTGAACAGTATGACAGGGCCTGAACTAGCCAGTGGGAGTTAAGTAGATGCATCTGGCAACATTTAGAAGGAAGAATCAACAGGATAGACTAGGTGTGGTGGTTGCAGGTTGAACTTTATTTAGCACTTTGCTGGATGGAGGGTGTCACTGCCTGAGTTAGGGAACTCTGGAGGAGGAAGAGGGTTTAGAGACTGGCATTTCCCCTCTGCCAGGGCTGTCTTTCCCATCTGTATTAACAGGCTGATCAGACTATAAGACCACCAAGGTTAGTACCAGTTCTTAAGAATATTATGATCCTTACACAACCAGATTCCAAATGGATCAAAGATTGCAATATAAGTCCTGAAAATAGCATAATAAACCATGAGAGGTTGTTTTTGTTTTTGTTTTAAACCTGAGTGAGAAAAACCACCACACAAAATCCAGAATCAAAGAAAAATAAAGGATGGATAAATTGCCTCCATAAATACCTTCTGTTTCTGCATAGCAGAAGACACTCTGGGCAAATTCAAAAGTCAAACTCGGAAAAAATATTTCCAATTCATCTAACAAAGAGCTGATTTCCCTAATATATAGTGAGCTCTTATGAATCCATAAATAAAAAGGGGGGAAAATGTAAGCAGACACAGAAAGGAAAGTCTAAGTGTCTCTTAAAGATATGAAATGAGGCTCACTCCACTCAAGATAACTGCAAATTACACTACCCCGACATAGTGTTTTTCAGCT